TCCCCTCCAACCCTGCCCGGGCATGTGAACAGCCTTGCTATCAGACAGAGTGCATGGGAAAGGGCTTACTCCAGATGCAGTTAGGTTAAAATTTAACATCGTATCATTTGTTCTCCCTTTTGACCCATTTTAAATTTGCTCCAATTTTTAATATTTTCTGCTTTCTTTTTTATTGAGCTTTTCCCTCTGTTTTATCTTGTTATCACTGTTTTTCCCCCCTTTTTCTGATATGCTTCTCTGTATATGAAACTCAAGGTAAATCTACAGAGAGAGTAACTGGAGTATTAGTGTCTTCAGGGTACAGCAAGGGAAGGTGGGGGGAAAGGGAGCTAACAATGAGTGCAAGAAAGAAGAAAAGATTCTAAAATTGAATGTGGTGATGATTGGACAGCTCTGTGAATATGATTCAACTACTGAGTTGTATGATACGTGGATTATATATCAATGAAACTTTTAAAAATCCAGTGATTTGGAAGTATACAACTCAATGTTTTTTAGTATATTCACAATGTTTTAATACATAAGGGTGAGAAAAATGTGCTAGTCAGCTTCTGTAAAGATTAAAGCCTTCCACAAAGACCATATCTTACTTTGATGAGCAATGACTGTCATCTTAAAACCTCATGAACAGCCATATAAAGTACAACTATTCGTCTTTATCTCATGCAAACACCCATCTCCATGACCCTCAGGCATGAAGAACTAGATGGTGCCCAACTACTGTTACATTTCAGGTCTTGGATAGAGTGGGAGAAAATATGTAACAATCTCAAGGTCATAAAACAGACGGACACACACACTTACTGGTCCGATAGAGACTGATCGAACTCCTAGACTATGGCCCTTAGTCATTCTTCAAGTCTGGAAATCAACTCACCCAATGGCTCAATTTTCAGCTCAGGGGAACATTAACATACGGAAGTACGCATGCTGTAAAACAGTCAACCACTGAAGATCCAAAGGGAAGCTCTTACCCAAAGACAAAGTTCAGGAGGGTTAAGAAAGAAGGGGAAATGGAAACAGGAAACACAGGGAGAAAGCAGGACAAATGATGTTACACAGAAGGGATCGCAATGAATGAGTTGCAGCAAAATGTATGTGAATTGCTTAATATAAAAATGATGATCTTCTCTGTAACCTTCACCCAGTTCACAATGAAAAGTTAACAAGAGATTACAGCCTTGGAAACCCAAGAGGGTCTCTGTGAGTCAGCATTGACTAGATGGCAATGGTCTTGGTTCTGCTGCAACCTTCACTACAATCTACTCGTAAGGACATTTTCACCCCACCCCCACCCAAGAAACTCTGTGCCCATTAGCAGCCAACCCCCTTCCCCTTCTCCCGCTGCCTCTGTTGGTTTTGTTGTAAGGCGCCATTGAGCTGCTTCTGACACACATGACCTTATGTACAACAGATGAAACACTGTTTTTGTGCCATCCTCATAATTGCCATGGTTGCAGCTTTTGTGCCAATCCATCTTATTGAGGGTCTTCCTCTTTGCGATGATCCTCTACTTTATCAAGCATGTTCTTCCCCTGGGACTGGTTCCTAGGGCTGACCTGTCCAAAGTAGCTGTGTCATAGTCTTGCCATCCTGTTTCCAAGGGGGCATCCTGGCTGTAATTCTCCCAGGACATACTTGCTTCTTATTCTGGCAGCCTATGTGCTTTCCATGCCCTTCATCAGCACCATCATTCAACTTCAGTCATCCTCTGGTCTTCCTGATTCCTCAGCCAGCTCTCCCATGCGTCGGCCAGCTCGCCCATGCATATCTCTGGTCTTCCTGATTCGTCAGCCAGCTTTCCCATGCATACCTCTGGTCTTCCTGATTCGTCGGCCAGCTTTCTCTGGATACCTCTGGTCTTCCTGATTCGTCAGCCAGCTCTCCCATGCATACTTCTGGTCTTCCTGATTCGTCGGCCAGCTCTCCCATGCATACCTCTGGTCTTCCTGATTCGTTGGCCAGCTCACCCATGCATACGAGCCTTGGGTCACCTCTGTCCTCAAAGTGACATCTTTGCTCTTCACTTTGAAGAGGTGTTTTGCAGATTTGCCCGATATCACGTGACTTCTTGATTGCAGTTTCCATGAACACTGGTTATAGATTCAAGTCTAATGAAATCCTTGACAACTTCAATCTTTCCTCGCTTAATCTGATGGTCTTGACTGGTCTAGTTGTGAGGGTTTTTGTTTTCATGTTTAGGTGGAATCCACCCCAAAGCCTGTTTTATTCTCATCAGTAAGCCCCTCAAGTCCTCTTGGCTTTTAGCAAGCAAAACTGCGTCACCTGCATAATGCAGGTTGTTAATAAGCCTTCCTCTGATCTTTATGCCGCGTTCTTCTTTCTATGGTCTGCCTTCTCTGATTACCTGCTTTGCACACAGACTGAATTGCAATCCTGACACACATCATTCCTGAGTTTAAATCACTCGGTATGTGTCTCCTTCTTCTGTTTGAAGGACTGCCACTTGGTCTCTTATCAGGGCTCCGCATGAGCACAATGAAATGTTCTGGAATTCCCATCGTTTGCAATGGTTCCCAGCCCGTGACCTCCAATCTGCTGTTTTTATGGGCTGACCTCTCCACAGGGGCTCTGTGAAGTAGCCACCAGAGAGAGAGGAACACTAGACACAGGAGGGGCTTAGAGCTGTGCTTCGCTGCCCGCCTGCCCAAGTTCAAATCTGAGTCTTGACCCTTCCTAGCTGAGTGGATGTGGGCAAACAATGGGACCACTGAGCTCTGGCTCCTTCATTTGTGTAACGTGATAAGCTTCTTGTTGGGAAGAAATGAATGACTCCCCCTAGAGCAGCAGTTCTCAACCTTCCTAATGTCCCAACCCTTCCATACAGTTCCTCATGTGGTGGTGACACCCCCCCAACCATAAATTATTTTTGTTGCTACTGCATAACTGTCATTTTGCTACTGTTATGAATCGGGCTGTAAAAGGGTCATTCGACCCCCAAAGGGGTCGTGACCCACAGGTTGAGAACCACTGCTTTAGAGGCTTAGCAGGACCAAGCCCAGAGCCAGCACTCCGTCAAAACCAGCTATTTCTGCCATTTTCATCGTCTCATGCCACCCAAGTGTGCACTCAGGGCCGAGGGGTTCAGGGGTGTGCCCACAGCCACACCACTGGTGGAGGCTCAGCCCCAGGTCTCCTGACTGAGTCCCCTGCTTTTTCCATCACACCACACGGGCCTAACTGTTTCTCTGTGATGGTACCACCCTCTCCTCAGTCTTGGATCCAGGCTACTTCTGAAGAAAAGAAAAAAACCCAAGGCTCCTCGCCAGGCAGGAGGGAGGGAAGGGGGCTGGAGTCATGAAATCACCTCACTCTGGGCCTTTGAGGCCGCACTCCGCCAGCCCCCAGCCTGTCTTCCCACCCTCGCTAACAGCTGGCTCCAGCTGCTGCAGCTCCGCCCGCTCCCGATCTCTACCCTGGGGTTTGGGGGAAAGGCTGGTTCCAGGACCAGCAATTCCACGACCGCCCCTCTGCAGAGACCATCTGGGAGGCTTTACAGCTGGCCAAGGCCCGCCTGCAACGGCTTCGCTACGGGAGGGAGCCCAAAGGCAGCCGGTTCCCTGACTGCGAGGCCCAGCTCTTGCCAAGGTTGGCGGAGCAAGCAAACCCGAGTCTTAATTTGTGCTTGAAGCAAAAACATGAGTCAGAACAGGAGAAGGAGGGAGTCAGCAGGCTTTAAGCCACGGATATCAGCAACCAAACCCCGGTCCCCAATCCCCGCAGGATGTCACCCTGCATAAGCCACCTCCATGCTAGGGGAGAGCCGATGACAGGGAACACACGTGCACGCACACAGTGTCTGGGCTTGGGGAGGCAGGTCTCATTGAACAGTTAAGGTAAGCAGAGGACAGAAGTGCTTTTGTCCCCTTTCCCCGGTGAGGCTGAGGAAATTGGGGCTCAGAAACATTCAGTGATTTGGCCAAAGGTGGACACTGAGCTGCGACAAGAAGCTCTGTTGGAACCCAGGCCACCTCTCTGCTGGCCCAGGTGCCGTTGTGTGGGAATGCTGGTCCCAAAGCTTGATCACTGAGGTCACCTCAGAAGCCACACCTTCAGCCCCACAAGCTGCAGGGACAGAAGTTGTGGGTACCACGCGTCTTACATGCCACTGGCTTACAGTGCTTTAGAGTGGCAGCGAGGACAGGCTTTCATACAAGCGTATCCACGGCTTGCTCCCTATCGTTCAGCCAAGCCACTCCTCCCAATGCTGCTACACCAATGACCTCCCACCCCCTGGATGGGCACCTGACCAGACACTTGGAACAATCAGATGCCCTTTCCTGGACCAAGTTGGCACCCAGGAACTCCAGTGCCATGGCGGCAGGGAAGGGCAGAAAGACTGGGTGGTCCAAGTGCTGTCTGCGGAGCCTGGGCAGGTACAGTAGGCTGGTCTGAGTCTGCAAAGGCTGCTGGGAAGGTGAAGCATGTCTGAGGAGAGGTCCTGAGCTGCAGTGACACGTACCGTGGGAGTTGCCTGATCCCCAGAGGGCCATTTGGTTGCCAGTCTGCACTGTTGCATTTTCTGCTCTGAGGATCCACAGAACACCCCTACCTTGCTCATGGCTCCTACGTGGAGTAGACCCTCTGTTCTGTGGTTGTAAAACAGAGCCACATGTTCCCTCCAGCCTCGGCTCTTCCCTGGAGATGAGCATCTGAACACGCTGCAAACGGGGCTCACCAGCAAACCTGGGTGACTGGTCAAAATGGGCACACCAGAGCCACGGGGAATGGGTTTCCACCTGGCCCTCAACGGAGGTGGAGGGCACTGAAGAGCAGAGCCAAGAGCCATGCAAAAATGAAACACAGTGTCTGTCCCCCAAGTCACGGATGGCACTGTGAAGTCCAGGAAGATAGAAAGCACCCAGTGCACCCAGTGTGGGCGAGGAGCGGGGCTCTGAAGTTCTGGAGGAAAGTGATGCCAATGAGACCACTCCCCACCTCTGCGACTCGACTCGCAGAGACCCTGCACGAGTTCTTACCTGCAGGTCAAAGAACTTGCTGTAGCGCCGGTAAATGGCCTCCGTGGAGCCGCTGGACCACGTGACCCGGATGATGTAGACCTGCAGAGAGGGAGAGAGAGAGGAGATGTGTGTTGACACCAAGGGGTCTTTCTGCCGCAGGGCTGCACTGGGCGGAGCTAGGCTTGAATCTCCGGCTGTTTGACTCTGGAGAAGGGACTTGCTTTCTCTGAGCTTGGAGTCACCATGGTGTGCCGTGAGGGGCAGGGAGGATTTAGACAGCAGGAGAGGAGAGGAGACCAGGGGAAGAGGCAATGGATGGTGAAGTGAAGACCAGATCAGAGGTCATAAGCCTTACCCCAAAACTCAACCCATCGAGTCGATACGGACTCACAGCAGCCCCATAGGACAGAGTAGACCTGTTCCTATGAGTTTCCGAGACAAGTCAGGTCTTTCTTCCATAGAGCCGCTGCTGGTTTCAAACTGCTGACCGTTTGATTAGCAGCCCAATTGGTTACCACTACGCCACCAGGATGTTTTATTACAAAGAGGTCTTCAAATCCAGCTCTGGAGGCTATGAATGATTACCAATCATTCACTCACTCACTCTACCTCACTTATGAAGCACCTACTGTGTACCAGACCTCTGGCAGGTGGAGCAAGGCAGGTCTTGGGCCTGCCCTTGGGGGGTAGGAAGATGGGCAGCAGGGTGGCCAACAAGCCCAGAGCACACAACTGTGATTTCTCACGAGACACTGGGAAGAATGCCCACGCCTGCTCTGGCAGAGCAGGATGGTGGGGGTGGGGGTGGGGGTGGTCTTGGCAGGGAAGGCCTCTCTGAGCAAACAACATCTGAACTGAGCCCTGATGGATGAGGAGCCCCCAACAAGGAGGGAAGAGCTTCTGGGCAGAGAGAAACGTGGGAACAAAACACGCAGTGGAGGCTGGAGAATGCCAGGCATGTCTGAGAACAGGAAGGCTATTGTCGCAGGACAGACCTCAGGGGTGGGGAAATAGGGCCACAGGCAGGAGTGGCTTGGCCGAGGAGCCTGGATTTTATTTCACTACCGAGTTTTAGGGGGTGGTGGGAGGTGTGTGCCAGGGGTCAATGTCTTTTTAAGGAAATACTCATATCCCTATGTCCCCTCTGGAGGAGTGCTGGTGGCGTGCTGGTTACCAGCTGGGCTGCGAACCAAAAGGTCGTCAGTTCGAATCACCTGCTGCTCCGAGGGAGAAAGATGGGACTTTCCACTCCAGTGAAGAGTTAGTCTTAGAAACTCACGGGGGCAGTTTCACCCTGTCCTACAGGGTTGCTATGAGTCGGTGTAGACTCGATGGAAGTGAATTTGGCTTTTGGTTTGAGACCCTCTGGCTGCCAGGTGGAACATGTGCCACAGATGGAAGCTTAGGGCAGCTAGAGTGGCAGTGAGAAGTGACAGTTGCTGCCCAGGTGACTCCAACTCATGGCAACCCTCAGTGAGTCAGGGGAGGACTGAGCGCCACCGCCTTTTCAATGGAAGATCACCAGGCCTTTCTTCTGAGGCACCTCTGGGTGGGCTAGAACCTCTAAGCTTTCGGCTAGCGACTGATGGCATGAATAGACCCGGAACGGACCACAGAACTCAGCTAAGCCCATGGTCTCACCTTCTAGATGGGCAAGCTGGGGCCCAGGAATGGTAACCGCCTCACTAAAGGGCCCATCCCTGGGGATGTTGAGACAACACGTGGATGACAATCTGTCCAGGACACTGCCAGTGGGGATTAAAAGTGGAGAAAATAAAAATGAGAGAGCAGCAAGGTTTCTGTTTTTGTTTTTTAAAACCATCAAAAGCATACGCCCATAATTGGAGACACCATATTCTGCTTACACAATTCCTTCTTGGTCTCTTATTTACAAGCCTGACACAAGCCTAATTGGCTTATTGGATTCAACCACTGCAAGAAAGTCAGGCGCCTGCCTTGTTCCGCCCAGATGGAACTTCTTTAATGGGAACTGTCCCAGAGCAGGACGTCGGGGCTGGGGAGAGCTTGGGTTTCCACATCAGCCAGTGAGAACCACACGGCACTACTTTCTCTCCCACGGGATCTGCTCACCAGGCACCCCCCCCGCCCCCCCGCACCCCCATCTTTGAGAAATGTTACTGTGTGCTACAGAGTCAATGTCAACTCATAAGGACCCCCCGGAGCAGAGGAGAACTCCCCCAGGGGCCTTCCTTATCTTTGGGGGAGCACACCGCCCTGTCTTTTCTCTTAATCGAGTGGCTAGTAGGTTGGAACCTCCGACCTTGCAGTTAGCAGCCAAGTGCTTAATACTGCACCACCACCAGGCTTCTTTGGGGGCTAGTGCAAGGCCTGATTTCTCTTGGAGAATCACTAGTTTTTCTTCCTCTAACCTCTGCGCCGGGGGTGCGGGGTTGGGGTGCATGCATCCCAGGGCCATGATAACTGGTTCAAGGGTGGGCACATCACCCAAGCCAGGCCCGGGAGACTCTATCCCAGAATGCCTTTCCCCACTGCACTGGTCTGCTGGAAGATGAAACGGGAGTTCCCACGTGGGGAGTGTCGCCCACCCAGAAGAAAGCAGAACTAAGAGAAACCTAAGCGTGTGACGCCATCTGAGTTCCCGGACAAAATCTTGGACGCCTCCCTGAAAGGAGCTCAAACATTCCCTTTCTTGCTTGATCCAATGTGAGTGACTTTCTGTTACGTGGAACCAAGGCGAGTCCTGCATATCAGACCCTGGTGCTTAGATTATACTCAAAATCCAAGTAAGGCCCAGAAGCTTGGCATTAAGGGATTAAAAGCAGACTTCCTGCAGAGTTTATCAAAGAGTCTTCTAAGGGTTCATGGAAAACCTCCATTCTCCTTTAGTTCTATTTTCCCGTAAATGGTTTGAACCCCCTTCATAAGCCCCAGGAGAAGAGACGCAAGTTATCAAGGATCTCGTCGTGCTTGGATCCACAATCAATGCTCCTGGAAGCAGCAGCCAAGAGGTCAAACGAAGCATTGCATTGGCTAAATCTGTTGCAAAGACCTCTTTTGAAGTGTTGAAAAAGCCAGGATATTACTTTGAAGACTAAGGGACGCCTGACCCAAGCCACGGTATTTCCAGTTGCCTCGTGTGCCTATGGAAGTTCGACAGTGAATAAGAAAAGCCCAAGAAGAAGTGATGCTGGTAAAGAATATCCAAAGTACCGTGGGCTGGCAAAAGAACCAACGAATGTCTCAGAAGAAGTACAGCCGGAGTGTTCCTGATAAGCAAGGATGGGAGGCTTGGCTACACATACTTTGGACATGTTTTGCGGAGAGAACACCCCTAGGGAAGGGCATCCTGCTTGGCAAAGTAATGGGGCAGCGAAAAAGAGGAAGACCCTCAACAAGATTGATCGACACAGTGGCTGCATCGACGGGTTCAAACACAAGAACAACTGTGAGGACGGCACAGGACCGGGCGGCCTTTCATGCTGTACCTAGGGTCGCTGAAGTAGCAACTGACTTGCTGGCACCTAAGGACAAGTCATCTTCCTTGGGAATGACACTAAAGGTGTCTAACGGGGTCTCTGTGGGCTAACCCTCAAAACACAGATCCCCAAAAGGACACCTTTGCAACCAGATTGTTTTATAGACAACTCTTGAAACTCTAATGTAAGAAAACAATTTACTCAATTAAAAAAAATGGAACGGGAAAGCAATTCATCAAAGAGGATATATGGCTGGCAAATAAGCACAAGAAGAGATGGTCAACATTCATAATCACTGGAGGAAGGACAGGGGAATCAATGACGAGCCACCACACCACTAATGAGAACGTCTGAAAGAAAAAGTGCTGACGACAATAAGTGTGCAAGAAAATATGGAGCAACCGGAACTCTCGTACACCAAGGGAGGGAGTGCGAAAGGGCACAGCCACTCTGGGAAACTGCCGGGCCGTTTCTTATGAAGTTAAACATACTTAACCGATGACCCAGCAGTGCCACACACGCTCCAGTGTTTACTCAAGAGAAAGGACAACTTCTATCGACACAAAACCATGTACGTCAACGGCAGCTCTTTCAAAATCACCAAGGACAGGAAACAATCAGATGTCTTTCTCCGGGTGAATGGATAAACGCCATGACACAGCGTACCACGGGTCAGAAGGAATGAACTGCTGATACGCAGGCAGCTTGGGTGTGTCTCAAAGGCCCGATGTCAAAGGAAGGAGGTCAGTCTCACAAGGCTCCAGGCTGTCACTCCACCTGGACGATGCTATCAAAATGACTGTCAGGGCTTAGAGACAGGGAGATGAGTTAAGATAAAGGGATAGACCAAGACAATTCTTTCCGGGTGACGAGATGGTTCTGGGTTCTGCTTGCAGTGGTTACTTGAGTCTATCAGCTAAAAACTCACTGCCTTTGAGTCAGCTGTGACTCATAGGGACCCCTCTGATTTTGTGTCTGTAAATCTTTATGGGAGCAGAAAGTCTCATCTTTCTCCCGAGGAGCAGCTCCTGGGTTTGAAACGCTGACCTTGCGGTTAGCAGTTCCACATGTAACCCACCGGGGCTTCTTGTCGGAGGACAGTAGACCAAATGTTTCATTCCACGATAGAACAAAATGGTATGACTTTGGTCAAATCCCTTAACCTCTGTGAGTAGGTTCCTCCTTTCCAGAATGAATCACCCGACCAGTGAGTGCTGTGATCACTTTTAGCTTCGGAAACAGGGAGCCTGCTACGGAACATCTGAGCGAAGGCTCTGGGAAAGCCTCTTGGATCATTTCTCTCCCCTCTCCTTCACTTGAATTTTTCCTGCCAAGGATTTGCTATGACCCAGGGTGTCCATACCCAGGGCACAAGCTGGTGACGAGAGTCTAAGAGAACCCTTCAGAAATGCCCATGCTTTTAGAGAAACCGTTCATCAATATGTGAATGTTAAAAAAATTAAAGTATACACGGATATGCAGTTTTACAACAGAGGCGTAACAAAATTTGAGAACAATAAAATAAATTTTCAAACCAAAAAGCACATACTTTTAGGTCAAGCAATCTCACTTCTGACAAATTTCCATAAGAACCCAGCAGCCAGACATGCACACCACTTTATGGGGGCCATTCACTGCTGT